AATTTAAAAAAAAAAACGGAAGGGTTTACCTTAAATTTTACCATTCGACTTTCAGATGCAAGTCCTCTTTCAATAGAGCGAGTCAATAATGTGGCGTCAATGTTTCCTCCGCTTAAGATGCACACGACACTAAAAATAAGTAAAATTTTTATTCACAATGAATGGTTTGCCGGATAAAATATAAATGTTATAACTGGCTGAGAGATGGATATCTTAGTTCTAGTCCCAGAGTTGAAAACGCATCTGTGTAGCCTTCTTTGTTAGAAGTTGCTGATGAAGAAGCAGGTGATGGATGGGCGACAGCAGTCACTTACCATCAGGTGGTCTTTTAAGTTCACTTCAATCCTATAAAATAAAAAATAAATAAAGTAGGCAGTAAACAACTTAAAAGTGATTATGATGTCTTCTTACGGCCTAAACGATAGCTGAATATTGCCGTCTAACAATTCGCAGAAGATATTATAGGTCAAAGAGGTGCCTACTTATATTGGCGCTCATTAGTCTTAAAATAGTGTGCTCGATGTAACCCTTCTGCAATAAGGTCGGCGATACGAGTGTCAGAGACACCAGACCCGAAATCAAACAATTTGAGTTTTTGGGTTGGGTTATACAAATCTAGTGGGGGTCAAACATAGGACTCGAGATGTAGTCACTTGTGGAAAACAATCTACACGTAATGGATATTAAAAAATTACCATATGTATCTTTGCTATTAAAAAAGTTATATTCACTATCTTAATATATTACGCAAGTAATTCTAGTACCTATATATGTATTCAATATATTTATTTAAATAAATAATATAATAAGCTTCTCAAAAACGGACGATTGAATGTTATATTTAGATAATGTTTTAATTTCCTAGTTTATCTAGATTGGCGTTATCTCTTAGAAAATTATTTTTTTACTAACGCCGATGCCTTGGTCGCTCAAGTACAAGTCGCGGCACGTAAATTGGTACGGGCTCAAGCAAAAAATGAAGTTGCCACCAAAACAACACTTTTAAAATTGCAGACGTCGAAGTGTTACTGCATGAATCAATTTCAAACGTTTCGCAAAAGAACTGGGAAGATTGTGTGAAGCATGCAGAAAAACTCCAAGAGGAAGACTTGAAGAAATCTCATCTGGCAGAAGATATCGTAATTCATGTGGATGACGATGATTCTGATGAATCTGATGTAGAATTTTAATGTAAATAGTTTGAGATTTAATATTAGATTTAGTTATTATCTTTATATTTATATTTACTTACTTGTAGTTTTTTAATACAAAGATACCTAATTAATAATTTATTTTAAATCATTATTATTCTTATTTTAATATTTACGCTTTTTTATCTATTTTTTTTTTCATTTTTATCTCTAACCCACATAATGACAAATCTAAATACACTATCGAAAACGCTTATAGACAACAATAATGCGCATCACTATGCTCGCCCCTAAGGCACAGAATAAATAATAGTACTACGTACAGAAGTTTCACTCTTTTGATGTTGACTGCTTGCCGACGTTTAATAGCCTACATAATTATTATTAATTAGATAAATCGCGCTCGCAAGCTAAATAAAACTTTATCGCTGCGCGTTAGTGTCCGTATTACTTTGCACATTTTCCTCTTCCTACGTTACGGTGGACTTTCCGTTGTTATGGAGGGATGTCAATAAAGAGTATTAAAACACATTGCGAAATATTAATTAGGTTACTTAGGTGAAATACCTATTCTAACTATGATCGACAGACCATATTTGCGAAACACCTACGTGAGTTCTGCGATGCCTAACGCATGCAACTTGCAAGGCCATTCGTCGGGAATCGCGACGCTTGGCTCGGAAGGAAAAGGTAGATAGTGTGAACAACAAATAAATTTGAAATACGATTCCTAACAGAAATGTAATCGTATTATATCTAGTTACGATTAGTTAATCCGATGATTTATGACCCAAACTGCACGGACAAAATAATTCTGGTATAGTATATTGTTGTGTACATCAGTGGCCTGTGTCTAAATAAAGTGGTTCTTTCTTACTTTTTTGTTTCTACATTTAGATCTTTAAAGTCGATTTTTTATAAAAAGTTAATGTTTTCCCCTTTTGAATGGACTTAGCAATATCAAAAATTAGAAGAAAATTCTCAGAAATGAGAAGAGGCCCAGAAGTGGGACGTATAGATCCTGAAACTTCAACTTTCAACTTTCAGCAATGTCAAAACCTCAGTGTCGTATAAATAGTTATATCAAACCATCTATCTCCCATTTCTATACCTTTAGGAGTAGAACAATAGCAGCCTTCTTAAAAATGAGAAGAGGCCTATGCCCAGGAGTGGTACATATATAGGCTGTAACTTTAACTTTTAGCTATATCAAAATCTCAGTGTCGTATAAATAGTTACATTATACAATTTGTCTCCCATTTTGCATCATAGAAAAAATATCACCCCAGACCAATTAAATAAAAATAATAATAGAAATTGGTTCTCAACTGACAATGATATCGCGTAACATACATACAAAAAATCATACAGTCGAATTGAGAATCTTTTTAGAAGTCGGCATAAATTCCTATTCTTTTGTCTTTTACTAGCGATCCCCCTCGGCGTCACTCGGATGATTTCTGAATCTCGACAACAGCGCCAACTACCAGGTCCAATTCTGAATCTAAACCATCCAGGGATCCACTTAAGCGCCTACAAAAAATTTCATCAAAATCGTTCGAGCCGTTATCGAGTTTTAGCGAAATTAACGGACAATATAGAGATAAAACAGTGCTTGACCATTATCCCACTTGTTAGTAAGTAGTTACATTTTTTATCTGTAATAAACGGGAACTGTCAACGTTTAAAAATTTTCAATTACTGGAACGTAGAATATAAGTTCGTTGTGAAAGCAACAAAGATAAAAAATTTCTTAGTAATCGAATTCACATTATTTTTAAACAACAATAACTTGCGCGTTAATGTACCTAATCATTTTTTGCGGTACCCAGGTGCATTGTAGTCGCGTGATCTTACGCTACAAAGGCTCGCTATGACCTTACTGCTAGTTTATTGAATTAATTTACTGGTTAAGTCAATATACTTTGAATAATGCGATGAGTATCTTTAGAATGTTCTTTAGCCAGTGCCGGTATTTATTAGTAACATCTGTGAGTGAGCCAATCGTCAGATAACCTTGTCCTCCGTTATCCCTACGTAAAATGTTCAAATAAAGCTTACCAACAGTAAACTAAATTATCATTCACTGGTTATTTTACCATTATATAGTTAACTTCTGAACATAGACCATATTACTATATGTGTACATTGCAGAACGAGAATAGGATTGGGTTGGTTACTATATTTTTTTTATTGAATTATTGCAACTCCAGGTCGCTCAGAGAGCTATGGATAGGGCTAATATTGTGGTTTCTCTGCGAGATAAAACTTAAAAACGAGGATATCCGCAGTAGAACCAGAGTAACAGGCATAGCCCAACGGATTAGTAAGCTGAAGTAGCAATGAGCCGGCCATATGGCTCGAAGAACAGACAACCGATGAGGAAGAAAGTTTCTCGAGTGGCAGCCTCGTACCGGCAGACGAAGTATAGGGCTTCCCCACGAGATGGAGTGACGACGTGGTAATATATGCAGGAAGTTGGTGCACGAAGCTGGTTCAGGACAGTGCTTTGTGGAATTCCTTGGGGGAGACCTATTTTCAGCGGCGAAAATGATTGCAACTCCAATGTAAACCTTCAAGATCATAGAATAATGGCCGTCACAAGATAAAACTTAAAGCGTTACTTAATTTCACGTTGATTTTATTTTTTTGAATATATATAATGCACATCTTGAAAAAGAGCCCACATTATACTCGTATACTCTCTAATCACCGACAGTCTAATCGTGCACGCATAGTACTTACATACTGTGAGTAATTTCAATTGTTATAATAATTCTTTCTATGCGAATACTACATATCTATACAAATAGATATGTAGTATTTATGAGCGACAGTAGTCTAATGGCAGGGCGCGGACCGCGAACTCAAAAAGGTCGTGGGTTCGAATCCGTCATTCGACTACTGGCGTGGACCACTCGTAACACAAGCAATTTAAGCTTACCACGAGTGGTTAATATTCTTTAAAAAAATAGTAGAAATAGAAATGTGTTTGTAATGTCAAAATAACATATGAAAGTAAACGGTACTTATAGAAAAAAAAACTATTTTTAAAATTTTTGTATGTCGTCTGGTTGTTCCAGTGCACCCTTGGGTGGTGTAAAAATTCGCTACGAGCTTGAGTCACTTTCGAATCGTCAGTCAGTCTTTTGAATGGGAGCATTTTAGTGTTCACTTAACATCCTCTTTAAAAATCTGACGCCCTAAATTTAATTTTTGTACATCTGTAGGGTTTGTAGTTTTCACATTTTTGAAAATCTGTAGACGCTTCCCCCACCTCTGGAAGGGGAAACATTACATAACTTTTTTTCTACCTATTAACAAAATGTAATAGGTCCCCACGATGCTTAAGTAAATCCCCAAATAGCATCTAGGCTCCTCTACTATAAGGATAAAATACACTGTCCAATACTTTAGCATTAGTTGCTAGAACAATTGGGCGATAATTACCTTTGTATGTAGTCGCTCCGACTTATGCACATTATGAAGAACAGGGCATGTCCTTTCCTCATGTGGCATGTCTCAGACGCCCAACGTGAATATCCTACCTAGACCTAGTAGTATGCCGTCACACAATGTTCCTAACCTGAACTGTGGTAACCCGGAGCCCCGAGGCCGCTGACATTAGAACTCAAGTGTGAAAATGGAAGGGCCCAAATTTGAGTGTATGAAGTTATTTCTTTATAATTTTAATTTTTAAGTTATTTTTCTTTACAATAATTGTAAATTAAACAACATTTTTTTTAATTTTAGGGGTTTTTTCAGTATTTAAGCATATTTTTGGAATTTGTAGGGTTTTTGCTGTACTTATTTGTTATTGTTTGTAATATGTCTCATAAAATAAATAAGTTACTTCTTTGTCTTCAATTCCGGTACAAGACTACTGAGGATTGCAGCTACAGTGCACGCACCAGCACCCTCAACCACAAATCGCTCTTTTTCAACCAGATGTAACACAGCTCGAGCTATCCAGTCCTCTTCTACTAACATCTGCAATGGGTTGTTAAATTAACGTTTTAAAATAAAATAGTTCGTAAAGATAAGACTTTATTCGCAATGTTAATAATGTTTTCATTACTTTGTTGAATTATCCTGAATAATGTTAAAACGCTGATGTGCCACGCTGCAGCTATATGGTAGCAGCACGAATGGGTCGGCTCGACCGGGGAAGGATTACGTCCTACCAGAATACCAGCGTAAAATAGCAGCTTAATACTGCTGAGTTTCATATGGTGAGTGTCCGGAGTATCCGGAGACCCTTTTTACTGTAAACGAGGCATTCCATCTTAGTCCTCAGCGGTAGTAACGCATCTGCGTTTTGGTTTTTAATCGAGGATAAATTTAGATGTCTATGGGTCACAGCATTCTCGTACCGTGTTCGGTGTGCTCGTTTGTCACCCTTATTTTATAAAAAAATGCATATAGCCTAGTTCATTCATTCATTCATTCATTACAGCCCTTCACAAGTCTACTACTGAACATACGAGTAGGCCTCCCCCAAGGAACGCCACAAAGCACGGTCCCGAGCCACCTGCATCCATTGACTTCTTGCATGTGTTGCGAGATCATCACTCCATCTAGTGTATACTTCGTCTGCCGATACGAGGCTGCCATGCGAGAACCTTTTCCACATCGGTTGTCGGTTCTTTGAGCTATATGGCCAGCCCATTGCACTTCAGAAAGCAGAGAATCCACGCAGACAAACTCCGAGCCCTCTTCATAGCTCGCTGAGCGTCTTAGAGCTTCCTCATACGGCCAGCATCGAAGTACCACGTCTCAGATCCATAGGTCATCACTGGCAACACGCACTGTTTGTACAATCTAGTTTTGAGGTTTAGAGGAAGGCTTGACCAGAATATGTGTCGTAATCTCCCAAACACTGCCCAGCCGAGTTAAATCCGCCGATTGACCTCTCGATCGAAATTGGACGTGCCTAGTCGAATTATTTGTTCTAGGTTTCAAATTAGATTTATGAAAATATTAGTGAACCCAAAAGCTAAAATAAAATATAGGGATAATTATGAGCAGCTCTTCCAGGAGTGTAATTTAATACCGATACATGATCAATTTAAAATACCATTTGCGACATGTGAAAAGTATTATACAATCTTATGTGACGCATTGCGTAGTTTTATCCCCATAAATAGGAAAGCGCGCAGACCGCATAAAGTAAATAACTTTACAATATAAATGTGCTAATTATTATGGTAAAAGAACGTTCCAACATTTAGTAGCAAAAATTTATAACAATTTACCGCAAGAATGCCTTACGCATAAATCAAAACAACATTTTAAAAATAAGTTAAAAAACTTTATACTAATAAAAAGTAAAAATGGAATGTATCATGACGATCCATTGTACAACATCATAGGTAAGCTGTAATATTTAGGTATGCATATATTTGTACGCATGTATGTATGTATATGTGTAAGCATACGTGCAAAATTTATGCATATATGAAAAATGCCGTTATCCTTTAAATTATTGAATAATGTTATAGTAATACTATTGGTTTGTCATATTAGTGGTAGTATAATCGTATTAAGCTATAGTGCCACCAACTTATCTGTTCAGTTTACAGAGTCGCTAGTGGAGTGCTTACTATTGCCATTTAAGAAATTCGCCGAGGAAATAGGTGACTACATATTCATTAGGTACACATAATATAAAATAAAACAAATTTCGTGTTAATATATTAAAATTAGTGAGAATTAGTGTCATTATATATATTATTTATATTTTATAAAAATAATTGTGGTCGTGGTCTCGGAGTTCAAGCGGCCGAACTCCAGGAATTTCTGTTTTGAAAGACGTACCCGCGTTAGCTACTGATTCCAATAATTCATCTTCTGAGTCACTGGAATCGCTTTCGCTATCGCTCTGACACTCTATAATAAAGGGTTCATCTAAATACGCGTCTTTTAGTCTGTATGCATTTTCAATTTTTTTCACATGATTACAAATGTTTTTCCACTGCACCGGTGTAATTTTATTGAATGCATCTTCAATTAATTGGGGCATTAGAACATTAGATTTTCCAACATTTTTGTCTGCTATGTTCCTTTTCATAGAGCTCCATATCATTTCAATTGCGTTCAAGTCGCAATGATAAGGCGGCAATCTAAGAATAACATGGCCATAACTTTTCATCAGGTTATCAATTTCATATTCCGGAGCAGGTTTATTTTTCTTTATTAACTCATAAAGCTGTGGTTTTGTCATTTGTTCATTGAAATCCACATTGTTTTCTACAAGCCACTTCTGCATATCAGCCTTACTGTGGTTTGAATTAGGACACCTATTTACGCAAATACTATGGTATGGCGCATTATCCATCACAATGAGAGAAGGTTCATGCAGATTAGGTAGTAATTTTTCATATACCCATTTTTTGAAATTAGTGCTATTCATTTCATCATGGTAGTCCCCATACTTTGTATTTGATTTAAATACGAGAAGTGCATTTTCCACAAAACCTTTTTCTCCACCTGCATGGATTATGATCCACCTATTACCTTTCGAAACAGGTTCCAAATCGCCATCCTCTTCAGGACCTTGCCAACATTTCCCAGTTGAGTGAGACGAATGTATGTAAGTTTCGTCTAAATAAATAATAGGTCTTTTTTCACCACACTCATTTTCTTTAATTTTTTGTAGGTAGGTTGCTCTCCATGCAACTACGTCGTTACGTTCATACAACACTTTTCTATTTGATTTTGTTTTCTTATAACGAAATCCTATTTTGTGAAGCAATTTTCGAAGAGTTTCACGTTCTGCTTTGAAATCAATATCTTCTTTTAAAATACTCAGTAATTTGGGTATGGTAGGAATTTCTTTTTTCACTGAATAAAATTCGTGAATTTTTCTTCTTATAACACCAATGTCGAAATTATCAACTTCTTGTTTCCCGGTTTTTCTTTGCCTTTTTTTGCCAGGGGTAGAAATTTTAGAATTTGATTCTTCAGCGTGTTTCTCTTCATTTACGAGTTTGTGTACAAATCGCTCAGAAACACCTGTAACGAAACGACAAATAATTATTGTATAGGTAAAATTAAATAAATATAAGCCCGTGTATATGCCGTCACTATAGCTACTTCACAGACCACAAATTACAAAGCTAGGTAATTTAGACGAATTACAGTAAATTGAGAATTTTTTTTACTATGTTTCACAAGTACATTATTAGGTGATTTTAATTTTCCATATCTGGCAATACTAACCTGTCGCGGCAGTAACGCGTTCATACAGCTTTTCAAATGGTATAATTGGGGCTTGTACACGTTTCTCTTCTTTCATAAAAGATAAAACTTTTATGATAATCTGTCGCGCATTACTTTTAAGAGGTTTAGGCATTTTATTTGCACTTTTTAAAAACACTCACCTGATAGCTCAGAATAAATAATAACTGACAGCGAAATGTCATTTACAAAATGGCGGCCTTAGTTCCAATTTTGTCCACCTGAACAGATAAGTTAGTGGCACTATAGTTCTTTTTTTTTTCTTTTTTTTTTGCATGTTAGAAAGTAAGAGAGCATTTTTCTGCCAACAAACTGCTGAGCAGTTTGGCAGACTGTAAAAATAACTAATTGTGTAATTTTTTTATGTTAAAAAAATAAAGGTAAACATACTCTTCAACAACTTCGAGCTTAACTACTACCAGCATAGGTGTGATATGGAAATTACACAATACTTTTGTTTTGTCCATGTTCATCTTAAGACCTATCCGTTGAGAGACACTATTGAGGTCATTGAGCATAGTACTTAAGTCCTACAGAAATTCTACCATAAGTACTATACCATCAGCAAATCGAAGGTGAGTGATGTACTCCCCGTTTCCTTTTCAGTTCAGTAGCTTGAAAACGTCTTCTAATGCATCGGTGAAGAGTTTATGGGATATTTAACAGTGGTAGAGCCACGCGGCAGCTTTGCTGTCGCACGTATGGGCCGGCTCAAACCGGGGTGGTTCCACGACCTCACAGAATACCGGCGTGAAGTGGAAGCTCTGCTTCCGCGTTTCGTCTGGTGAGTGCAGGTGGCCGGAGGCCCAAATCCCCCCCCCCCCATCAACATGGTAGCGGAATTCAATGATAGACTACCCCAGGAGGGTACCAGCACCCCTGGAGAATCCCTCGCTGAGCATCCACGACCATGTTTTTCCACTTCTGAGCGTGGGTGCTCAGGCTGCCCCCGCGTATTCTGGGGGGGGGCAAAATTCCGCTCAAGACTAAAACTGCTCGGGGCAAACGGAGCAACAAGACCAAGGCGACCCCTGCCACGCTGTCCGTGAATTTCTGCAATATCAGGGGACTTCACTCCAACCTAAACGCCGTCCACTACCATCTCGAGACGGCGAGGCCGGCTCTGCTCTTTCTGACCGAGACGCAGGTGTCCTCTCCGGCTGATGTCTCGTATCTCTCCTACCCGGGGTACAAACTGGAACACTCCTTTGTGCCTCGGGCTGGAGTTTGTGTTTACGTCAGAGAGGACATCTGTTCTCGACGCCTCGGCAGACTTGAAGGTTCGGACCTGTCCATCCTTTGGCTACGCGTAGACAGCGACGACCATCCGCGCATCTACGGGTGCCTCTATAGGTCCCACAGCGGTAATGCCGAAACAGACCGACTCTTCGACCACGTCCAAATGGCTGCAGATTCGTTGCTACAGCAGATCCCCTCCGCAGAGATCGTGATCCTCGGCGACTTTAACGCCCATCACGCCGAATGGCTCGGTTCACGTTTAACCGATCATGCGGGGAGATCTGTTCATGATTTTGCCTTGTCATATGGTCTGACACAACTGGTTACTTCGCCTACGCGGATTCCAGATGTGGAGGATCATGCACCTTCCTTGTTGGACCTTCTGCTGACCTCTCACCCGGACGGATATCAGATTTCCGTCGACGCCCCTTTAGGCTCCTCGGACCATTGTCTTGTCCGGAGTGTGGTGCCACTCACGCTGAAATCGCGGTTGCATTCTGCAGGCTGCCGCC